GCACCAAAGTTAAAAGCCTTATACCCAATCTGCCTTGCAACCAACTCAAAAACCTCACACCTAAACCAAGATGTCTTGCACCCAAGCCAGAACCCTTACACCTAAGCCAAAACCCTTGCACCTAAGCCAAAACCCTTGCATCTAAACTAAAACCCTTGCATTTAAGCCAGAATCTTTACATCCATGATAATAAAAATTACAACTTACTTTTCTAGCTTTTGACTTGGGGTGCACAACTTCTAACTTAGGGTGCACGTGTTGAACATGAAGTTTTTTTTTTATTTTGTTCCTTCCAATTTTATTAGTTTAAACAGAGAGATATTTTGATCATTTGTTCATATTCTTTAATGAATAAATATTTAGTTTGGCTTTTAAATTTAATTTGATTCTTGGGCATAAATTTTTCTTTTTCAACTTGATCTTTTTCACCAATTTTTCCATATTTATATTATAAAAAAATTATTTATTTTTTAATGTTAAACAAATATGGCATAGAAAGTTTGAATTAGACAAACATGCCCTTACCATTCCGTCAATTTTTTGTTTTTTGTTTTGTTTTTCTCAATTCCTCTTCGAGCAGTGCCTTTTTCGTCCTCCGAACATGAACTAACTTTGCGTCCTCGAACCCTACTTCATCTCACCACTCTGCTGCCGTCGATCTCCCTTCCCTGCCAATCAGATCATTATCAGGTGCGTTAATTCTCTCCATCTCGTTTTCTCCCATATTCTGTCCATGCTTTTCTCTCCGTCGATCTGTCTCCCCTGTTTCCTTAGACCATTATCTTGCAATGTTTTTGCCGTGGTTGTGTTCGAAACTGATAACACATGAAAGGCGTCCGACATTGTGATGCAATCCTAGCATTATGTGTTTCTTTGTTAGATATCCGTGTCCAGAAGAAACCAAGTCATTTATGAAGTTCTTTGCCTTTTTTCGTTTATCATGAGTTGCTTATAGTTCTCTTGCGGTTTTCTAGACTTCCATGTAGTTCTTTTGAGAACTTAAATTTAACATATAAAATATTACCTATGCTAGTCAGAGAGCCGGAACTATTGGTGGGTGATAAAGTTAAATGGAGAACGATTCTAAGTTTCTAACTTATTTTGTCCTATTACGCTTCAATATGAAGAGAATCACGTTGTTGAAGGTGGTTTTAGTGTTTGACATCCCTTGTTCTGAAAATTACGAATAGGACCTAAATAAAAGACTTATTTACAAATAAGCCAGCAGAATGTGCTAAAATATGATGAAATCTAAAGGTCCCTGAGCGTCATTTTTTGCATGTGTAAAAAGACTAAATTGCCCCTTGACCAATCTTGGAGGTAAGGGGTTGACTTATAAATCTATGAAGTTGACTTGTAAATCCATGGCTAAAATTTGAATTATTGATGCAAAAATTATGAAGATTCACTTTAAATTTATAAGGTTTAATGTAAATTTAGGAAGTTGATTGAAAATCTACATTTAAAATTTGAATAATGTGCAATTTAAACTTTTTGCATGTGTAAAAAATGACAATAAGGTACCTTATCATTTCACTGCATTTTAGCAAATTCACAGGACTTATTTATAAATAAGTTCCTTATTTGGGACATATTTGTAATTTTTCCTTTTATTTATAATTTATAATTATAATTTGTTATTTAATTTTAAATGTTTGATGTGTTTGAATGACTTGTTCTCTATTTCTGTTATTTCCGTTCACACTTCAGTAATTTATATGACTTTTTATAATGCCGCATTCTCATGTCGTGCTTTGTAGCCTCCTTGCAAACCCATTATGACTGCTGGGATTCACACTATTTTTATTTTAAAATTTTTGAAGGCCTCCCATAGCTAAGCTCGTGCATATTCAGTTAGTTATATTTAAAAGAATTAGGCAAATCAAAAACCTCATAAGAAATATATTTGTGCTCTTCGGTTTTTGTAGCAATTGGTTCTTTAAGTGGTTGTTTCATTCGATCATACACAAGAATCTGTGGTTTGTCTAATTGCTGATTTTTGCTGAGACTGGATAATTTATTTTTGTGAATATGCAATGGCCCCGTTATTGTGTACGACAAGAATTTTGCTAGACTGACTTATTTTTGTGATTATGGATGACCTTTTTACTTTAAATGACAATATTTACTCTGGAATGACCCTTTCCTGTTAGTTTTAAATAGAAAGTTTGAGGCTTCTGAATTTAATGAATCAGATCTATAGATTGCATTTTTTGTGATTCTTTCTATTGTTTCTGTGGCTAGATGAATATACTGCATTGTTTGCTGGCTGCTGCAGTTTTCTTTTTATTATACTTGATGCGGCTTATACATATTCCTTTCTTTGGCGAATTCTATTCTAGATGCATATATGTTGAATGATTTTGTTTATTCAAGTTCATTGTTCAGCCCAAGTTTGTTTTTTAAGCACAGCACAGAAACCCATTAGTCTTGTAACTTGATCTTGACCTGAATACGAAACTCGGTCATGCCTGGCTTTGAGTGAGTTCAGCAAGACTGTCTCTCGAGCTAAAAATATTGTTGAGTGCTGTGCTATATACTTGTGCTTTTTTTTTTTTTTTTGGTGGGGGGGTATTGGGACATCTCTTTTTGTAACCACCTTGTTAGGTGTTCTAATGCTGTGTTTGGTACTCTAGAACTGGCCCTTGAGAAACTAAAAGGGAGATGGCAGTCTGATCACATTGTGTTAGTTGTGGTAGAACATAAGTTCTTTTCACCTTTGCTATCTCCATGAAGGGGCTGAAGCCACACTTCCATCACTCTTGGTCAGGAACTCTAAAATGTTTCATGGAAAGCCAAGTGTGGTCATAGTGTGTTAGTTGTGCTAAAACATAAGTTCTTTTCACCTTTGCTATGTCCATCAAGAGGCTGAAACCACACTCCCAATGACTTTTGGTCAGGAACTCTAGAATGCTTCATTGAAGCCAAGCTTTTTGCCCATTTTGCTCTTGACATATCTTACTGGAAAACCCAATACTCATTTTTCTTATTTGCCTCCACAACCTTCAAGCCTCTCAATAGTAAAGTGGGTTGGCCAAACAAATGCGTGCGACAGGGAGCTACATGATGTCTTGAGTTACCAACTGCCCATCAAACCTACATGTGTGATGATGAGTTTCTATTCTTTTCTGTGATAAGGCCTTGGTTTTTGTCTTCGACTTCTGGTTGTGATTTTTTATTGCTTGTCTATGGGTTCGATATTGTTGGCTGTTGGGTTGGTTGATTGCCCATGCTGATTTCTATTTATGATTTTTTGTTGCTGGTCTCATTTTTGGGTTGGGATCAACTGCTTTCTATAAATGGGTGAGGGAGGTGGGGCTTCACGGTGGTCGACAATGGCTTTTGGAGTTACATGTCAATAGGTTTCTTTTCTTTCTTTGTTTTATTTATTTATTTCTTTTGATCTTGGTAAGTCTATTTTAGTGTTTTAATATATACATACCAAATTCATGCTATTCTATGTTTATATTGCCTTACCAAACAGACTTTTAAAGCCCCACTTTCATTCCTCTCTCTCTTCCACTTTCTTTGAAACTACTTCTATATACCAGACGGCAGTGAATCTTTATTTTTTCCTCCTTATCGTCATTCTCTGTTTTTGTTGAGTTGTAAACTTTTTTATAGTTGTAATGATATGGGGTTCCATATGCCAACCATAAAATATCATTACTATGCCAAATATAAATTATTCAACTTATTGGGTTAATAATAAATATTTCAAATCTTTATTTTTTGTTTTTGTAAATTTTGAATTTATCACAAATTTGCTATCATTTATGACTTAATGTAAATCTTCTTTATTTGGATTCTAATATTTCTTTTTTTGAAAAAAATTCCCCTTGCTGATGTCTACCCACATTTGTTAAAAGTTTGACTAAGTATAATTATTTTTAAATTCAATTAATAAAATAATATTTTATCAATTAGGTAATTCTACAATATAATTAGAACGAATTTCTTATTTACTACTTGTGTATGTACACCATTCTTTTGCTTAGAAGGTATTTATCAAAATTATTTACTTCATGTATTAAAACTATAATTCAATTCAATTCAACTTATGTGATTTAGCTTTATTTATTTATTTTTTTATGCTATGTTGTTTTGTTAATTTTGCTTTTTTTGAAATCTTCATTCATCCCACGTGTCTTACTTTCCTAGATTCTGTGATGTAAGCCGACCTTAATTGGGTACTTTATTATAATTATAATATAATACAAAATTGGCAGCTATCATGTGAAGTGAACCCACTATGTAGGATAAATGCTTCAAGATGAGATTGTATGTTTTGCTTGCCAGCAAAATGATGACAGAATAGGAAAAAAAGGGCTAAAAAACTTGATTAGCCCTGACGTAAAAAATGAAAAACAAAAGAAAAACAAAAAAATGAGATTTGAGACACAAAAGAGAAGTTGCAGATTATGTTGAAAGGTAATTGAGATGCTTGACTAATCCTGACTTTTAGTTTCATACCAATAAATGAGATTGTGGTAGCATTTCAATTATCTTGATGAGTATTGCTTGTATGGTAAATTTGTCTACCATTGTCTGTTCTTTTGGCCAGAGTGGGATGGCTGCAGCTGAAGCTAACGAACCCATTGCAGAAACTTCTGGTGGCTAGTGTTTGTACCTTTTTGTCTTTCCTGCTTCCACATTTTGGTATCTAATTGTGAACTGTTTATGTTTCCTGTTGCTGGCTTCACAGGTGTGAAGAAGAAGGAGGTGAAGAAAGAGACCGGTTTAGGGCTTTCAAACCGAAAAGCAGACAACTTTGGGGAATGGTACTCTGAGGTACTTGCTTCAAATTATCATCAATTATATTTTTTGTTCTGCTTTTAATTATGTAGTAAGGCAAATTTGTCCATCATTGATATATGGAAATTAGGAATAATGGAGGTAATTAGGTATATAAAGATAGTTTGAGTATTTAGTTATATTCTCTATAAATAGGTCTAGGTTGTAATGGGTGATTGTGAATGGAATTGTTCTCTCTCTCTCTCCTTCCCTTCTCCCTCTTCTCTTTTTCACTCTCTCTTCTATCTCTATCAAAGGTATTAGAGCCTCCTCTTTGGCTGTGGAGGAGTGGCCGGAGATTTGGTCCTCATTGGAGCACTGCCTTTATTTTAAGCGATCCATGTCTCAGTTTTCCTAATGGATGAATGAAATCTCGGCTACGTTCTCTTTGCTTGTCAACCTGCGCCTATACCTTCCTTCAACAGTGTTGACCTCTGCCTTTACCACAGATATTCCTCTTCAGCCTTTGATCATTGGGTCAACGATCCTTATAGAGTTAGGACAGATGAACCATGTTTTAGCTGTGAATGAGTTCGACAACTAGCAATAGAACAATAACATCAACGTAGAAATAATGGCGGAATTGAATGACGTTGATGAAGATGAAGAAGAAAAACATGAGAATGATGTGGAGATTGGTCTAATTCACCTCAACGACCAATCTGTCTCTCGATACCTTACCTTAGTCAAAAACCAAAGACCCTATCGAATTATTGTCTTCTTTGATGCAACGTAGATCCACGGGAAGGAGCTTTGCCTCAAGGAGCTTCATAGAGACTTCCACAAGCTTCATAGAGACTTCCACAACTGACGCTCTCTCATGCCTTCTTCAACTTCCAAGGCCATGCTTCCATGGAAGACTTGCCCCTCACCCTCCATTGTGTTTGCTGTCACTGACACTGTTTGCTGTCTTGACGGCACCCTCAACTGCCATCTGACGAACTTCCTTGATCACAGAACTAGCCCCAATTCGAAACCCATTAAAGGTGTTAAATCCTCTGACATTACTATCAACCCCTCTCAAAACCTCTAGTTCTGACTATTCACACCCTCTATGGTCGCCATTTCTTTGTCTCTTCCAGTCATTGTCTTCTTCCACAGTGGTGGGTTCATGTATCTTTTGGCCACTTCCTTCTCGTACGACGTTGTTTGCAGGAAGTTTGTGTGTATTTTTCCTACTATTGTCATCTCTGTGAATTATCAGCTCATCTTGGAACATCGGTATTCTGCTGAATGTGATGACAGGTTTGACATCCTCTAGTTTCTTGACCAGGATGGCAGCAATTTGCCCAGTACTGCTGATTTATGAAAGTGCTTCTTGATAGGTGATAGTGTCAATGGGAACTTCTTCAGTGTCATTGGATACAATGCAATCCTTGTATGATTGAGGGGTGATCTTAGTGATGTTGTAGTAGCCAAGAATTCTTGGAACTCCGACCCCCACAACGGTACTGCTAAAGACAGAATCTCAGACTATGAATGTGAAGGATGGCCTAAAGGTGAGTTAGGTTGGAGAAACTTTGTTTTTTGATTTCGGTAGGGTTATTGACGGAATAGGGTTGAGTAAGGCTAGTGAAGAGATAATGGACCTTGGGTGGTTGTTTATGAAATATTCTCTAACTGCCACCTAGACATGCATCTACCATGGTGATTGTGTGAATTTGCTTCCTGAGTCAGTTGGTTCAACATCTACAGGGGTCTTCCTAGTGTGCTCCAAATGTTACCCACATGCCAACCATCAGAATAATATTAAAAATGGGATTAATAATCACGGTGTTGTTAGACCTTATGTGGATGAAGTTTGGGCTGTTCAAGTATATATGAGCCCAAAAGTCTTTGGATGGAACTGGGGTGTGAAAGTGGAGCTGTGGGGCATTCTTAAGTTTGAATAATGGTTATCTCATGATTCTATATGGCTTGCCATAATGGGCTTCTAGATTGAAGGAGTACTACAACATGCTTGGGCTTTTGATGTCCATTAATTTTATTTTCAAATTATTTTCTTTTACAAGTTTTAGCAGCTTGAGGTCAACCAAGAAAAAAAAAAAACAAAGAAAGAAAGAAAGAAAAAGAGAAGTCTTATTTTAGATGTATGTTTTACTTCCTACTTTTGTACTATTCCTTAAAGACAAGGATCTTTTGTTGGGGGGAGTATTAATACATGGGAATTAGGAATAAGAGGGGTAATTAGGGGAATTAGGGATATCAAGGTAGTTTGGGTATTTAGTTATATTCTTTATAAATAGGTCTTTAGGTTGCAATAGGTGATTGTGAATGGAATTGTTCTCTTTCTCTCTCTATGTCCCTTCTGCCTCTTCTCTCTTTCCCTCTTTCCCTCTTTCTGTTCTACCTCTATCAATCATCATCTGATGTCATACACTTTTTTTCTGGTTTTAAATTTTGTTGAGCTTAGTGAATACTGACAATCACCATAATCTATGTGCGAGGTTTTGATGGTACTGATGACACTGAAAACTGAATTTGAGTAAAAAGGAGCACACTGTTGTTTTTAATCATATGACTTTGGCTTTTGGGTGCAAAATTTGATGACTAGATATTTGTCATGCTTTTCCTATTTAACTTTCCTTTGATGTGACACGACAGCTAGTTGTCCATGCGGACATGATTGAATACTACCCTATATCTGGATGCTACATTCTTTTACCATGGGCAATGTCAATTTGGAAGGCAATGCAGGTGAGTTTGTAAATTCTTTTCATGCCCATTATTGCACCTTATTTTAGTACCCATGTGTTTTGGAGGAGCTTGTTAGGTAGGTTTAGCTTTTGAAGGAACTATGGTTCCTTGAGCATGAAAATGTATTTCCAAATATTTAGGTTGCTTAAATTCATAATGGTTTAAATATTTGAAATCAATGTGCAGGACTTTTTTGATGCAGAGATGACGAAAATGAAAGTTGGGACCTGCTACTTTCCGTTATTTGTGCCTTCTTCCTTTTTGCAAAAGGAGAAGGATCATATTGAGGGCTTTGCGCCAGAGGTGAAATTTCATTTATTTACTTTTTTTCATAATTTACAAGGCCTATTTAATTTAAGTTTTATATGTGAAGGAACTTGATTGCAATCTTGTAGATTAATGTGCTTGTGCAAATGGAAATTTGTGCATTTTTAAATCGATAGTTTACTCATTGATTTTAGTTTGGTTAGTAACAGTTTGTCTCAATTATCCAGAAACTGGATTACCTTCTAGAAGGAAATTTTCAGTGTAGAAACATATTTGTTATATGATTAATATCTTGGGTTTTTGCCAGGTTGCTTGGGTGACAAAGGCTGGGGATACTGATTTAGAAACCCCTATTGCTATTCGCCCAACTAGTGAAACTGTCATGTATCCATCGTACTCTAACCGGATAAGGGGACATCGTGATTTGCCCTTGAAATATAATCAATGGTGCAATGTTGTTAGATGGGAGTTTAGTAATCCCATGCCTTTTATCAGGTATTAGATTTCTTTCACATTGATTCCTTTTTCATGTTACATCTTAGTGTGTTGGGTAGGAACTACTTTTAATGTGAAAAGTAATGCACACTTTCAAACTTATACAAGTTGACTGACCTTGGAATATCAAGCCTTTAGCCCTTTAGTATTCTTTTGTAGTGTCTTGTAGTCATGATCTGGTTTTTCTTTATTTTTAGTGGAAGTTTCATAAATAGTGAATTGGTCATAGTGATGCCTTTTTGCAAAACAATGATATTTTGTTGAATCTTAAGCTTTGTAAGAAGTTGGAAATGTGATAAGTTAAACATGGTGTGTATAATCTGCTGTCACATGTGGGTAGTGTTTGTCTGGGTTCTTTTTGTGAAAGAGGAATGTTTATAGTGTTTACTGGTCTCTTTACTTTTGATTGCAGGAGTCGTGAGTTTCTTTGGCAGGAAGGGCATTCTGCGTTTGCAACAAAGGAGGAGGCAGATGCAGAGGTCTGATGCTTGTATTACGTTAATGATGTTAGATATGATATCAAATTACTGTCAGGGTCTTGTGTTTTTAACCGTGTATTTACTATTTTTCTGTATCTGCGTCTATGTAAAGGAGAAATAGGTCCCTGGTTTTTAAGATGCTTCTCTCTCCACTTGGGTACTTTCTGATAATTGTCGATAATTTCCCAGAGACTAATGTCAGGGCAATTTGAGTGTAACAGTTCATCCTCCAAGGTTGAGGTTAAGTGGAAACTGAGATTGTCATGACCATGCTTTTTTCTACTTTATTTGAATTTTGAACATTGTATAATCATTGTAATACTGCAAATAAAATAATAGTTTATATGGTATTGAATATTGAATTCAGACATTGAATATCCATTAAATAGGTGTAGCAGATTTATGATTGATCAGGTTTTAAACAATATATCATGAATAAATAGTATTTTCATGATACTTAATCGAGGACAAGACTTCGTACTAATGAAACTATGTTTGCATGGAGAATCCAGCAGTTGGATGTATAAAGTAGGATAAGAAAATTGAAACATGCACTGATAGGGTTACCAATTTGATCTGGAAGTAAATGATTGCAAGAGGTCCAGTGTAAAAGACAATTTTTTATGACAGCGATATATCTGAATTAAATTTGGGAGAGGACTGATTGGGAATAAGGGCTGACTACCCGTGCATTTCCATGGAGTCCAAGATAGGCCAAACTATTCTCAAGCATGTCCCTAAATTTAATATATGTCGTATTGATTTTAGTTTAACCAGTTACATGTCATGAGCTATGGTACAAAAGCTTTTGATAGTCTGTTTTAATCCTTCACTCTTTATGCTTTCAAGATATACTAATTGATCCTGTTTCAGGTACTTGATGTATTGGAATTGTATAGGCATATATATGAAGAATATCTGGCAGTTCCTGTCATAAAGGGCAAGAAAAGTGAGCTGGAGAAGTTTGCTGGTGGACTCTACACCACCAGTGTTGAGGTACATCTGAGTTCTGACTTCCTTGCATGATGACTGATATTGAAATGGTGAAATCTTGTTTATACATTTGCAATGTACCATATACTAGGCATTTATTCCAAACACCGGTCGCAGTATTCAAGGTGCAACTTCTCATTGCCTTGGCCAAAATTTTGCTAAAATGTTCGAGATAAATTTTGAAAATGAGAAGGGAGAGAAAGCAATGGTCTGGCAGAATTCATGGGCTTATAGTACTCGAACTGTAAGCTTTGATTTCATTAATATAATTGCATTTGTGAATTCTTATGGATCAGAAAGCTTTTATATTTCTTCTTGTTTTTACAGATTGGAGTGATGGTTATGGTCCATGGGGATGACAAAGGGCTTGTGCTGCCGCCTAAAGTAGCTTCAGTCCAAGTCATTGTGATTCCAGTGCCTTTTAAAAATGCTGATACTCAAGCTATATTTGATGCCTGTGATGCTACTGTAAATACTTTGTGTGAAGCAGGTATTCGTGCTGAGTCAGACACTAGAGATAACTATTCTCCTGGTTGGAAGTATGCACACTGGGAACTGAAAGGTGTTCCCCTAAGGATTGAAATTGGGCCAAAGGATTTGGCAAACAAGCAGGTCACCAACCCTTTCCTATTAATACATAAACTCTTAGATATGTAATCTTTCCTCTATGTTGGTCAGTTTGTCAATGAACAACCATTAACAAATTTCAGATCATCCACAGGTTCGGGTGGTCCGACGTGATAATTGGGAAAAGGTAGACATACCTAGGGATGATTTGGTGAAGCAAGTCAAAGACTTGCTGTACAATATTCAACAAAACCTATTCAATGTTGCAAAACAAAAACGAGACGCATGCATTCAGGTAGTGCATAATTGGGATGAATTTGTCAAAGCATTGAGTCAACGGAAAATGATCTTGGCTCCTTGGTGTGATGAGGAGGTATGGATTGTGGGAAAGTAGTTCTAATTTAAGTTTTAGATGTCTTGATAATGAATCTTTCCAAGATTTGCATTTTTATGTTAGTGTATAATTTCAACTTGTTTTCTTCACAAATAATTTATCTTCCCAGCTTTCTGAAAGTGAATCAGTCATGGATCAGTTTGCAATGACGCTTTTATTATGTGAAATGATAAACTTTGGTGTGACTGCTGTATTATTGCTTTTAATGATGATTAGGAAATTAGTACAAGCTTCCTCAGTCAAGACACAAGGAGGAAAAAAGGGGGACTAATATCCTAGGTCACTTTAACTCAATAAACGAGAAAACAGAAATGGAAACACAAGGCTCAACTCTTGAGAGGCTGAGCTCTCTTCTTACCAAAACCAGCTAATTCTCTGACCAAACAATTATGTGAAACCCTAGGTGAGATTCACAATGGGACCAACATAACCCTGATAGTGATAGTCTTACTCTGATTTGGGCCATCAGCCCATTATGCTCTTGCCTTCTCTTTTTAGTAGCACATGCAGGAGATATGGATCTAGTACAAGCATTTTTCATAGGACCTCGCTCACTAGGCCCATAATCTTCCCCCTTTGTGAGCTGCACCTTGTCCTTAACGTGAAAATCAGGTAATTGAGTCAAAATGATTGCAAAGTCTTCCCAAGAAGTACTGTCACTTTCTGGTAGATTGCACAACTTAATAAGCACCGGCAGAGTTCCATCAGCTGCCATCCTTTGCACTTTTCTGACTTTTCTAGGTTTGGTTTGCATCTCAAATTCCTCTGGCAGCTTGGTAGAGGATGGACCTACATGAGTGGGGAGAGAGATTTGGTGAGCTGTGTAAACATGAAACGCAGGGTGAATTCCTGCAGAATCAGGGAGCTGCAGCTTACAAGCTACATTGCTGGTCTTCTCTAACACCTTGTAGATTGAAGCCACAAGTAGACTCGATCTTCCACATTAAACTTCACATATCACCTTTTCTTTAGCTGTCTGATATAGAAGATTTTGAAGTTAATTATCCCATCCTTAGAATATCTTTAGGCTGGGATATTTTAACTTGATTCAGCTGAAGATGTAATAGGTGTGTGAGAAGATGAACTAATTTAGTATGATTGCCTGTCTACTAAATAGAGCACAATGGTCTCCACCTAGTGAGATAAGGCTTCTTCTTCGTGTTGTTGCCTATCTACTAGGCTTCCAAATGCGAATGCTTTGCATTTCTGGTATGCAGTGCAATTAATCTTCTACAATAGCTACGCTACCATAAGCTTTCTCTTAGAGAAATTTGTAATTGATTATAGAGATAGCCAGATAGGATTCCAATTCATTGCTGCCACCAAAACGTGCAACAGGAGATTTAAGGGAGAGATAGAAAGCCAAAAAGGTGGGGTTGACGATATGATGAATGATCCAAAAGTTTATGTTAAAGAGATATAAAAGTGAATGAGAAAAAAGATTGGAGTGATGAAGGGGGTAAGAGGGAGCAATCAGAGAGTTGTTGAACTGGTATATAAAAAAGAGCTGAGAAGGAAGGGCAGAAGAATTGTGGTCCAAGTCTTGGTGGGGGAAGTTGGCAAATCTATTATATCCCTGAGGTTCTAGATCTGTATTGTTTTGGTATTTCTGTGAGAGTTTTGTCTGAGTTAAGTTGCTGTAACTAGAAACAGCTGTATCAGTTTCATTTTTCTTATAATCTTGTGTATAGCTGTCCGTATAGCACATTTTGCAATCTGGTCTGGTGGAAAATGTCAAGCCCCAACAATTCCAGCATTATTCATTAAAACTGAACCCTGACAATGGTGTCACCTGGATGGATGGGATTGCGGGGTCTAAGCAATTGATTATTTTCTAGTCTATGCCTTAGTAGGAAAGGAAATTTGATGACGTGGATCTCTATCTGGTTGAGTTACCTGTTAGAGACAGTAAAACTTAGGCATTGTTTTTAGAAATAACGTGTTATAGGTTGTAGGTTCTATTTTTGTTGTTGAGTCATGTTTTGTTTCTTTATCAAGATTCGTCTTTGGAAGTTTCGTTTTGTTTTGAATTTGAGATTACTCACCCTTTCATTTGAAAAGAATTCTGAATATATATCATGCTGTTATAGATTTCCTCCGCATGTTATAAGTTGTCCATTGTTTTCTTCTCGAAGTTCAATTTATACAGGAAAGCATGTCAAATCTGCTATTGCCTTATTGGAGGTGAGAAAGAGTTGGACATATTCGATATTGAAACTTCCCTTTTTTGGCTATTCATGTATGGTTTGGCTTTGTTAGCATTTGTGACAAATAATCAGCCATTAGATTGGGCTAAATCCTCTAGCAATTTCTTTTGCTTTGTTTGCTTCCATCGTATGTTTCATAAGTTGTCTGTGGGTATCATCGAGTAAATGTTTAGGCAATGATTATTTATTTTTTAATTCAATCATCTAGTTGGAGTGAGAAAGTCCTCTAGCATGGAAGCAGTTCCCATTGGTATAGAGGAAGCCTGTTATCTGATAAAAATATATTCTTATATCAAATTAGCTGTCCAATATTGAAGGTTTTGAAGTTAATTATCTCATCTTTTGACTATAATATTTTATCTTGATTGAGCTGATGATGCAATGTGTGTGAAGATGGAGTAATTAATTATGATTGCATGTTATGTAGCAATTAATCTTATACAAGAACTACAGTGGTGTAAACTCTCTTAGAAATTTGTATGATAGAGATCAGGGATTGATGGGTTCCAATTATTTGCTGCCACCAAAATGTGCAACAGGGGACTTTAGGGAGTGACTGAAGGCCAAAAAGTTGGTGTTGATGGTCCCATGAAGGATCCAAAAGTTTATGTATGGAGAGATAGAAAAATGAAGGAGCAAAAGAAGAGAGTAACGAGGAAGGGGTAGGAAGGAGCATTCAGAGAGTTGTTGAACAGGTATATTAAGACAATAGCAGAGAAGGGTGGGAAGAAGAATTGTGGTGAATTCTTGGTGGAGAGAGCCAACCTTTTGAAAGTTGGTGAAACTGTTTCATTTTTTAGGTTCAACCTATGTATTGTTCTTAAAGTGTGTGAAGTGTGTGTTTCAAGTCCTTTTCTTCATTTTATTTGCTAATGTCGAGAAACTATAATTAATATGTTCACTCTATCAGTGTCATTCATAACATCTGTGCTGCCTAGTGTTCCATAGCAGAAGAATCTCCATATCCTTGGTTCGATTTTGTGTTTCTGCAAGAGTTTTGGTTGGAGTCAAGGTGTTGTACCTGGAAGTAACTTTGTGTCAGTACGATTTCTTTTAATCTTGTGTATAGACGTTCTTGTAGCATATTTTGCTATCTGATCTGGTGGCAAATGTCAAGGCCCTAACAATTTCAGTGTTATAACTGAATCCTGAAAATGGTTGTTTGGCATGTATGGATGAGATTGCTTTGTGCAAACAATTAATTATTTTCTAGTTGACACCTTGGTAGGAAGGACTTTTGGTGACATGGGCTTTTTTTTTTTTTTCCCCGGGTGGTAATAAAGGGATACAACTAGGCACTAGGCCTTAAATAAAACAGAGTCGAGGGATGGTGATTCCCTCAATGTCTTCATACAACAAAGGAAGGATGGAAATAGGAGGGCTGTCCGTGATGTGCACTTCAAGCTGAAAGCTAAGTGCATGACTTGCAAGATGGTCAGCACTTTGATTGGCTTCACAGTAGACGTGGCTGAGAATGACTTGCCAATTTTGCTGCAACAAGCTCCTGATGGTTCTTACAATCCCCGAGTAGGCATTGGTGCTCCCTGGTTATTATCAACCATTTGAATGGCAACTTGACTATCAGATTCAAAGAGAACATTTCTGCAGCCTTTTTGCCAAGCAAGATTAAGTACATCATATATTGCCCAAATGGTGACATAAGTTTCTTTGTAGATTCATCTTAGACAATGGTATAGCTTAAGCATTGTTTTTAAAAATCACGTTATAAGTTGTATATTCTATTTTTGGTGTTGGTGAGTCCTGTCCATTGTTTTCTTCTCACAGTTGAACTTTTTTCTTTTTAAAATATTTGATGCCTTAGGCCGTGGAAGTTGATGTGAAAGCAAGGACAAGGGGTGAGATGGGAGCGGTTAAGACCCTTTGTACTCCGTTCGATCAATTGGAACTCCCTGAAGGTAACATTTTTTCCAACCCTGTCTGTATGTGTGTATATTTGTTGACTTCAAATGGTGAAATCTATGCATTAGTTTTTGTGTGTTTGAATTAGTGTTACTGTGCATTCCTTCATGGTTTCCTCATGTTCGAGCTAGATATCTAGCCTTGCATGACCATTTGATAATATATATATATATATATATTGCTAGAAATAATTTATATATGTTTGGTTTTCAGTTTACTTAAAGTGCATTTGGTGAAATTTCATTTGGTGAAAGCTAGTTTAGTGCACTGAAAGTTATTTGAATTATAATAGTGAAATGTGCTTTTGAATGTACAATTATCAAAAGAGATATTGATTTATAATGATTTATAATTTTTATTATACAAATGTAATATATTTAAAATATTTAAAAAATGTGAAAGATTTTAAATAACATAAAATTTGATCTATAATGCTAAAAACTTAATCTTTAATTATTTGTATTTTTTTAATTTGTAATTTTAAAAAATGTGATAAAAATTTGTAATTTTTATTATACAATAATGCTATAAATTAACCGATTAATTATTCAATTTAGAATGCTAAAAACTTGATACCTAATTATATTTTTAATGTATTAACTAGTTTTTAAATAAAAGAATAAGATATTAAACTTGGGGTGATATAATCAAATAACATCCCATTTTTTTAAATTCATTTTTTAAAATCTTCAAATAGTTATGTTTCTCAGATTTACTTTTAGCCACTGTTTGGATATGTTTTCAAGATGTGCTTTTATATAAAATATTTTGCCCAAACAACTTGCAGTATCTTGAAAATGAAATCTTATTTTCTGAATATAAAACTGGGAGTACCAAAACGGATCCTATATATTGTCAATCCTGCTTTTTCATGAATTTAAAATTCTATCTTGTCTCTAAATTTTACAGTATTAAGGTCCTCTGGCTCATTATTTGAATATCGGGATTATAAGGACCGGAATTTACTAATCTTAGACGGACCCTCTTCACATTTGTCTGATATCTGGCTCATTATTTGAATATTGGGATTATAAGGACGAGAATTTACTAATCTTAGACAGACCCTCTTCACATTTGTCTGATATCTTATAATTTGTTGACTTTGTCATTGATCTTATAATTATCTTTATCAAAACATGCTAGTAGTTTTTTGGCAAAAAAAAAAAAAAAAATGCTAGAGGTAGATTATTTTAAACTTATCGCACATCTTTACCCCAACAACACCCTTATATTTAGGTCCTCTTTGTTTAAGATTTTTTTTTTTTAACAAAAAGTGATTTGTATATAGTTTAGAGATTTTATAAAAAAGAATTTATTTTTGTAGAGATTTTATAAAAACTAGATATTAATTTATGTTTGATTACAATAATAAAAATGATTATTAGATTTTATAATATCATTGTGGATCTTTATTTATAAAAAAAATAGTTTATTATTTCGTTATTTCAGAATTTTATAGACTTTTCAATTGATTATTACCAATACCAAATCCATAATTACTTCTGGTTACCTTCTATTTTCTTGGAGACCTCTTTCGTCGTTGCGCCTGATGTTTGAATTAACCATTGAATTGTCATGGGGTTAAGGTACAAAAGTACCAACAATTTTTTTCTTCAGGAGCTTTTGATATCCTTAAATTACTAATTATGCATGGATACCCATTAACCTTATGAAAAAGGCCAACCTTCAATTAATTAAAATAGCCTGGCATTAACCCTTACGTTCTAAGGATTGGGGAAGTTTAACCTTTTTTATAAAGTTAATGGGTACTTATGCATTATTGTTTGACTTAAGAACAACAGAAGCTACTGAAGAAAGAGTTCTTGGATATTTTTGCACTATAACCAAAATAATTGTGATGTGAGCACTTATATGCGGAATTTGCTAAATTGCAGTCAATGTGGTTGGTGACAATATATCATGTATTATGTGATTATTATTATTATTATTATTATTATTATTATTATTATTATTATTTTATACAAACCATGTGATTATTTTTGCTTAGGTACTAAGTGCTTTGCATCAGGAAAGCCTGCCAAGGTATGGTCATACTGGGGTAGAAGTTACTAGACTAGGGCCTCTCGCTAAGTTATGTATGGTTGAACACTAATGGATTTGTGGGGCACACAAAAGTGAGTTGCATTTGCATGTGAAAGATATATTTTCCTGGTCAGTTTGGGTGGGCTTAGTTGTTATGTAGCGTGGATTTGTATTGCCACGCTGACTTAAATTATGTCTTATTGTTAAAACTATCGAATGCTTAGAATTTATAAAAAAATATTTATTGTCAGGTCATCAATTTTTGTGGTGGCATTGTTAGGTCATCGTTAGAAACATGCCATTCCTCCATCGTAATAATTATTGATTACTATTGATTATTGAAGAACATTTTCACTGGCACACAAGCATGCATGCTTGAGATTATACGATAAAAATTTAAAGCCTATATTGTTATGAAATTCCATATGTACACTTATTGCTGAACAGTTAAACTCGTGAATATACGAAAAGAAAAATTATTGCCAGGTCATCCATTTTGTTTCGTTGACATTGTTATTTGACACGTCGTTCATGTATGAGTGCTTTAGTTAAAGTTGAATTTAATTAAGTCAAATAATGGATGCATATTTGTAGACATAATCAAAATTTAAATAAAATCCTTTGTGGCGGGTGAACTGGCACTTTTTAGAACACGTTTATGTCTTGTAGGATCTCCTATTTCTTAGGGGGGCGCTCCTATTTTCTCTCCTTATCTATATTTTGAAAATTTAAAGTTGACATGTAACTTCGAATTGTCTTAACGAGCTGGTATTGACGTGACAGAGAAACCATAAATAAAATATTACTTTAATTTGTTTTTAACAAGCATATATTGAAAAACAAAGCAGTCCCTGTAATTTTTTACAACGGTAGAGTCCCTGTAATTCTGGACTCTCTTTTCTGGGTAGCGATTCTCAATAGAACTTCGTTTAAACCATTTCCAGATTCTACCATTTCTACATTCGTGTTTTTTCTGCATTTTTTTTTTTGTTTGAATACTAGGCTGGAAAAACTGCACAAGACCAAAATTAAGTCATGCCTAAAATCATAAAGTTAATATAATCAGGTAACGAATTGTCTAAAATCATAATATCAGAGTCATCACAGGATGTTTGATGAACAAATAAGTCAGTGTATTTATTCGCTTTTCTGTCAATGTGGTCAAATATAATCTCCCAATCCCCATCCTTCCTCGTGAGAAATCTGATTTTCTCAATATATTCTGAGAGTTGGTGCCTTTTAGAGTAGTTATGTTTGATAAGAGATAAAGCTTTCATAGAATTATATTAGACATTGATTTTAGAGAGCTTGACATTTCATTAAAAATTAAGACCCTCAAAGATTCCCATAAGTTCAGTAGCTAAGTTGGGGTGATAGTCAAGATTCTTTGTGAATCCCCTAATTCAATTACCTTTTTTGTCCCTAATAATGCTTCCATAAATAGCAGCTCCATTGATGTTAACAAAGCCGGCAATGTTGAGCTAGCCACCCAAATGCAGGAGGGTTCAATTTAGCTTCATTTCTAGCACCACTTTTGATTAGATAATTGATTCTGACATGAAACCATAGGTTATTAATAATCTATTGAATGCTTCTTATATAGTTGATTTTGATTTAAAGCCATAGGTCATTAATAATCTATTGAATGCATGAGAAGGTATGTCTTTGTCTTGGGTAGATCTTGTATCTTGCCTTCCATATGTTTCAGCAAGCAAGTGCGAAGAGTCTTTGCCAATTTGTTCTTCTTGTACGTTAGCTACTTGTTTCAGCATTCCAAACTAGGGGTGAGCATTTTACCCACATACCTATGTACCTGCTCGACCCGTTCCTAAATGGGTCAAGATGTACTCATAAAATGAAAGGAGGAAAATGGGTATGGGTGGGTGGCTACTCATTTATCCATAAATGAGTGGGTAACGGGTAAGGCCTCATGTAACAACATGGCCCCCAACCCCTTACACTAGTGAATGCAATGGTGGCACGTGTCCCCTCACAAGCCGAGGTGCGACTTTCCCCATGGTAGTACATGGGTTATTTCTCACCCTGTCAAAAAGGTTTTTTGAAATCTTTCCAGCGATCGAGCTCCCAACCTCTCCTACCTTAGTAAAGTTGTGGCCAACCCTGGTCACTCCATAAAACACATTTAACTAATAAAACTCATGATAATTAAAGGATTAACATAAAAAGGTGATTACCAAGTTTTAGTTCAAATTCAAGGGATTCTAAATTTTCTAAATCAAAAAGAGTTTAAATCTATCAAAATCTCTTATATCAGAGTAAATATAGATTATGGAAGCATGGGATACCTCAGAGGGATAAAAAAGAATGAAAGCAATTAAAAATAATTCATATGCTGTGAAATAGGGCAATGCACCACAGCTTGTGCATGTTGCACTGCAACATGTTGCTCTCTGTGCCATGAGTCACGGCTCAAGCACCATGCACCGCAGCGTGTTGCATGAAAATATCAGCAATTTTGCTATCATTTGACAACAGAATCGGAGAACTTTCCATGTACCCTGATTTCCCGTCCGACGTCTGAATGATGTGATTTAGGTTTCTACAGAAAGCCCTTTTCATGAACTAGCTAACAACATGAATTTCACTTTCAAAATAAGTCACACATTGAAGTTGGACACTCAAATATATTTTGATCACTTTTCACAAATTTTACACAAAAAGGACGTCTTAAACTCTTAACAAGTGTCAAAAGTCTTTTCTAATACCTGGACTATGTCCATTGGACCTAAGACTGCCAGTACAACACGTTGCATGCACTTAGACAATAGTATAACAGAAATTCACTCCTCAACCTTTTTTCACCAAAAACAGAGGGGGAGGCAAATTGTCATTGCATTACATCAAAAGTCATCGTAACATGTCTAAGACATCATTTCTACACTTGCATTAATATTTTGGCCTTATAAACACATATATCTCACCATACAAATTTACTCAAGGCCCAAAATATAAATCAGACATTTTCAACAATAAAATAGTGCAAGTGTGATGGCATTCAACCTAAAATTGGGAATCATATACTATCATACAAAATAAAACTATGCTAGAGGCATATAATAGAATTATACTAATTTTTAGCCTCTTGAGCCTTCTCCCTCTCTGCACTAGAGCTAGAGCCTGAAAAGTGTTAACTAAAAGGGATGAGTCTAGCCACTCAATAACTAAGGTAAAACTTACCCTATGCAATTATATATCAATTATAAACCAAGCACATGCATATGAAACATACTCTAACACATATCAATTATTAATCCAACTAACATGTTTTCATCTCACACATGCTATGTACATAATCACAAAATCACTTACACATGTGATCATGACTTGATTTATCACATGAATTGCCACAATTTAGAGCATGTGACACGTCATAAGTTTATATAAGAAATGATCAACCAATCTTATACCCTCCTTATTTTCTCAGATTGAAACTATGAGTTATAAGATAGAATAGGGTTCTGTTTGTGTGACTAGACTACCTAAGCTCATTAATCGTGAGGTGTGACCTAGCCAAAGATTACATTACTCACTCTCGAACCATAGCTTCTCCTATTCTCGAATATTTGGTTGTCTTATACCCTAGGCTATTCTCCTTATTGAATTGGTGGAGAAAGCTAAGTTCTAATCCCTCGACAAACTATGGGACAGTCCCTTGACAAACTGTAGGACAAGGCTATACTCTTGTGCACCGGAGGGCAGCCTAAATACCATATGAATTTTTCTCTACTCCTAATCCTTAGGCGAACTCCCACCAACTGATCATGCCATATATGATACTCAACCATTTACACATTTTCATTTTCATTTGCTCATTATCACAATAATCATGTCGAGCTCACAACCATGCACTACCCAAGTATGCGTCCTTATCATTTTTTCAACATTATTCTCACTCATCTCAAAAATTCATTTCTTCATTAGCACACATTTATCATGCATGTTCATAGTCTAAAAACCATCTTGATTTCACATTTTGCATTTTAAGCTAAAAAATAGCATTGTGCACATTCAAATTTTCATACACTTATTAAACTAATATATGCTTTCACATCGAAAAATCAATCCATGCATGCAACATTCACAATTCATGATTAACAATTAATTAACATATAACTACCTAAAGAAAGGTTTTCCTGGTTATCTTAAACCTTTGAGAGGTTAAAAGTTTATCCCTTAATATAAGAGCTTTTAAGCTTGAATTCCTAAGCCAAATAGGTGACTAAAAGCTAAAATTACAATCAATTAAGTTGAATTTCATCAACGTTATCAACTCAAGCATTAAACCCTCATTTCTCTACTTCTAAATTGCCCAATATCCACTCTACATGAGTTTGAGCTTATCCATTGGATTTATTATCTACCCTCTAGTTCTCAATAACATTAATAAGCTATTAAACTCCTATTAATGGCATTACACTCTTCCAACCACCCATATTAAATGCAATTTCTAATATTAACAGTGCCCAACAATTCAAGACACTAAAATTTATTATACCTAGGTTTAAATATTTTAATCTACTCTCATTAACTCTATTTGAGTCAATAAATTTAGACCCATAACCTATATGGACCAAAAATCATCTTCCAAAATCAAACCCTAACTATAAACTCATAAATATGGGAGAAATGGGGAGATTAATAAGTGTGGTACTTATCTTGGGTGTTTATAGCTCCCAAAATACTCAGTGTTATTCACAAGTGAACTCTAGCAGAGCTTGGTGTGTCTCTCTATCTCCTCTTTTCTCTTTTCTCTCTTTTTGTCTCATTTTCGTGACTGATATCTATAGAAAATAACCATGCACCATGATGGACACACAATACGTCATGGCACATGGCATAAAGAGTTCCTCATTCTGCATTAAAAGTATTTGTACGTTGTGGCGGATGCACTCTACATCACAGTATGTGGCATAGCAATATTAACTCTTCATTTTCTTCTCATTTTGATGCCCGAGTAGCCTGACTTAAACCAGACCTACAATTAGGGCTGAAATGCAATCAAACATGATTATTAGACTTCTCTGGCCACATACTATCTCAACTTACTTAATTATCCTAATTAGGTTTAATTAATTAGGGGATTAAAAACTAAGATGTTGCACCTTGGGTGGGCCGTACCTGCCTATATATACTTATTTTTTTAAAATTTTTTTAGTCATTTTTCTTTAATCAAAAGTTAGAACCCCCTAACCCTCATACTCAAATTTTAGTCACTCATCGTCTCACCTTGTGTCGTGT